CACCAAATAAGGTGTTTGCACCAGTTTTAGAAGAAACATTTGTGGGTTTTAAAGGTTTTTTTGACTATTGGAGTTGTAGACTGGTAGAATTTCATACTATTTGGTTGAAGAAAACAAATGGTGAGTTTTACTTATAAAATTCCAGTAAATACTAAAACTTTATTATTCTTGATTTCTTTAATTGTTTAACTTCTCTTTTTGGTTTCTTTCTGTGGCTTTCATAAGCAATAAATAAATGGTGGATTATGGATTATGTTTGAGTAGGGACAGGGACCATGGTGTATATAAGTTCATTTTAATTTTAGTAAAACCTCATTCAAGTAGGTATTATTTCCATTTCACAGATGAGAAAGCTGAGTCTGTGACAGGTTGAATTGCTTGTGAAAATTTCAGTTGATAAGCAGACTACTTGATTGCAAAGTCACCTGTACTACCCAGCTTCCTCACCTGTAGAAATAAAGACATAAATCATTGAATCAAAGACATCCCATGGTGTGTATAGATCCCATTTTATGTTTAGTTTAAAAACCTAAGCTGATCGTTGACAGCCTGTTATTTAGACACAAAAGCTTTTTATCAGCAATCATCTTGAAAGAAGGGAACTGGAATAGCGTTCCATCTCAGCACTTGTTCTAATAATGTGACAACAGAGAACTTTAAATAAACTAGTGCTTTAAGTACAGTCAGTATTTAAATAAACATGTAAGTGGTATGCAAAACACATTTTGTAGGTGTCCCGAAACCTACCTCCTGAGAATGGTCAAGAAGAAAATTCACAGGAAAGGTCCTTTAAAGACTGTCTCGCCAGGCTCTTCAGCTGGATCATGAGAATAAGCCACTGTGAACACCTTCAATTAAGGCAATAAACGTATGTGCGCTAGAGCGCACTGGGGTTGGGGTTGGGTTGCAAAGCTGAGACAAATACAGAAAAATGTGTCCTTCTGCGCAGGTTTCTCTTACCACTAAAAAGGATCTAGGAACTAGAATTTGTCATTGTTGTTATTGTCCTTATTATTAATCTTTTAAGCATATTTTATTTTCACTCATTCCTGGGAATTTAGCATTCCTTAACTACCTGTTAATAATGGCTTTTTTGTTTGCTTGTTTTCCTGTAGCTGGTAATTCTGAACACTCCCGTGAAGTTCTCTTTTTGCATTTTTTTCTATTTTTCCAAAGGAAAGTGGAGGAAAGTGGTAAGTGGCAGATATTGCCAGGTGACTAGTCATCACCAGAGTTTTATGTCATACATACATGACATTTTGTTTTAAATAGGTATGTATTTTTTAATTATAGGATGTAATTCCTGTAAGTGGAGATAGACAATGACTATTAAAGATTTTCATGGAGAACTTGCGTTTTTTTAATATGGACATGCTGTCGACTATAATATGTGCCAAATTTAAGAATCCAAGACAACTTTTCAGAAACAAAGTACTTGTTTTACCATGCAACACCTGCGCTCAAGGACTAGACTTCAGTATTTTGCTCACTGGTTTGCTGTGGACTTGACTAGACACTTTCTATGGGTGTTTCATGTATCATATTCTTAACCTTCAACTATTTGGACTCCAGCTTTGTCATCTCCATTATAAACCTCTGTATGAGTAATTGTGGACAATTATATGACCACTTTCTTCTTGTGACTCGGAATTCAACTCTGACCTGTGAGTGTGAGATTTTTTGCTTGCTTACTGCATGTTTTCACTAGCATCTGCTGACACATTTGAATATTGAATATGAAGAATTCAGACAGATTAAAAGGAGAAATCCCTTGGCAGCTAGTTTGCTTCATAAGACAGGTGATTTAATATCAAAAATATTAAATGCAATTCTGGTTTTATATATATATATATATATATATATATATATGTATGTCTATGTTACTGAGAAAAATGCTGAGGGGAAGTGAACTAGATCCTTGCTTCCTGCATAGAAATTATGCCATCTGTATGTTTCAAATTGTGCATTGCATACCTTGCTAATATACGAATATAAAATTGGAGAGTCATATAGATGGAAGGACCTTAAATTGTTATAACTATCTTTGTCCCTTCTCTAGATTCAGAGAAAATCCTTCCTGCGCTAGAAGAGAATTAAACTTGTCTTGTAAGGCTACTGAAATAAATAATCCATCTCCACTTATGATACAGGTTTATTTTCTCCTAGACAGTGAAGTCAATGAACAGAAGGTCCCTATCCTCTCTGTGTACGCCTTTCCTGTGCTTAGAACCTGTGGTTAAATTTCCCCTTAATTTTCTCTTCCCGATGTAGTCACTTCAGTGTCTTATTTTCATGTGTTTATATCTCTGCAAACCAGGACCTCCTTAAAATGATGATACTGGAGGAGATTCCTTTTAATTGCAGTCAAATAGGAAAACATCATTACAGAGGTTAAAAATTAAGTGTCCTATGAAATGGAAAAGCTGCTGTTTGGAAGGTGGGAGGGGAAAGCTGGAGTTTCCCCAGAATGCTGGGATCTAAAAATGTAGTTTGTCTAGAATTAAACTGTTACCCTTGTAGTTTAATTTGGTAATGACTTGGCATGAGGAAAAGAGTAATATGGTTTGGAGTTTATGAGGAGTGAAAGGAAGTGGCCAGGTAATCAGGTGATTTTAAATGCAAGGATAGAATTCCAGTATTTTCTTGATCTCAATATCACTCTTAGAGTTTTAGGTTCCCTGCTTAATTATTAAGGTGTCTTAGACTATTATATGCTGATATTAAAGAGTACCACACACTGGGTAGTTTATACAAAACAGAAATTTATTGGGTCATGATATTGGAGGCTTGAATGTCCAAGGTTGAGGGGCTAGCCTCTGGAGAGAGCCGCCTTATATCCCGGCAAACCATGGACTGGTGTGTCATTCCATGTTAGAGGAACAAAGAAAGGGTGAGGGAGAGAGAACAAGAGACAAAGGAAACGGAACGTGCCTTTTTATGATGAACTCAGTCCTGAGATCATGGCATTAATTCATTCTTGAGGGCAGACTCTACATGGCCTAATCACCTCTCATTAGGGCCCTCCTCTCAGCACTTGCATTGGAGATTAAGTTTCCCCCACATTCAAACCACAGCATTAGGTGACCTGACATCTCTGCGTGGGGAGGTCCTGATTCAAGCCAGTTGTCCTTGTGTATTATTGACACCCTTTGCTCCCTTCCCCATGTCCAGGGTGAGATGATAAGTTATATGGTCACCCTCCAGTCCTTACTCCTTCTTTGTCCCACTCTCTAGCTTGCCCTTGTATGCTTGATTGTTCCTCTGCTTCTTAAAGCTTTGCATTGATCATCAGTAGTTCGTGATCATTTCTATGCTTTATTATGGTCTTTCAATATTTACTTCTGCCTTCCAGCGTGATGGATGTCCCCTTAAGATCATCTTCAACATATTTAACGAGCCGTGTGGACTATTATCTAGGTCAGTGACAGGAACATAAGGTCCAGGCCAGTGGCCATTGGGACTCCATCCCTTTTCTCTTGTTTAATCTCTTTTCCTTTCTCTCCACTGCCCCTTCTTGGCCCATTCTTTTCCCACCAGTTACTATTTCTATCTTAATATATTTCCAGCAATTGTTTGTGCTAGGTCCTGTCCAGAGGCGTGACACTCATGGCAGTTTTGTGCTGAAACACTTTCTATCAAATTGTATTTTCTCAGTTCACTGGTTCCACGTCCCTTTGGGGCCACTGGAAAGAAAACTGTGATGTATTGTTTCCACAATTCTTATGGGGTTTTTTTTTCCCCCTCAATCCTAGTGCATTATATAACTCTGTCAAGTCGTCTTTGTCCTAAAGTCATGCCTGTGCTTTTGTAAGGAGAACTCAAGAGAACTATGAGCGGCTGCAGTTCCTAACATTTTTATTATGGATTTTTTTAAATAGGAAATTGAAATTTCTAAGGTGTTATCAGCCATAAGTGAAAAACCATGGTTCTGCTCACTACTGATTTTTATTAATAATATCTTTCTCCAGTGTTAAGTGGGTTAAGCCTAGAAAACAATGCCCTAATGTACAGTCAGTGACATTCTTCTAGTGGGGTTTAACGGCCCTAAATTCAGTGAAATGAATTTTAGTTTCTTTGCACACGTATTTGAAATTGAATTTAACTACTTAAAACACTTCAACTTCAAAAGAGCTCCATGGACCTTGAAGAAATTTCATGGCTTACATTATTATGTGTCATTCCATGGATGATATCATTGTTTATGAAGAGGCACTGCTCTTCATAGGCAAAAACTACAAAAAAACAGTCTAAGGAGGTATTGTGATGGTAGAATACGTTTATAATATTGCTGTTATTTGTTGGGGCTGTCTTTCATGTTAGATCTTGACATAATACCATATGTAGCATAATTCATTATGTAAATCAGTTTTTCACTGCAGTATTTCAGCAGCTTTGACATGACCTGTTGCATGCATTAATTTATTTAAATATTAACCCTTCCACAGAGCACATAATTCCATTGCTATAAAAAAAGGAAAGTAAAAGGTCTCTGTAAAGAATTCTATCGTTGAGCTAAACAACAGAGATTGCAATCTGGAGTCTCGATTCATGCATCAAAAATGAAGGGTTTAAGTAGATTTTTGTCAACTCGCAAATGCCACTTCAGTCTGAGCATTTCACCACTTCATTCTACACCATCTGTCTCACAGGGAGCAATTAATTTGAAACTCTAATATGCAGCATTAAAATTCCATTAACATTGAGCAGAATATTAAGGTGTCTGGAATTGCCATTTGTATCTCTCCAAATTTCAGTGTTAATTTTGAATAAAGCAGGTATAACATTTGAATCTCTTTGGTTAATTAAGACTATTGAGTAAAATATATAATTAGCAGCGAAAGTTATGTAATAACACATAGGACGTAGTTTAATAATGCTGTATGTTTTGGCAACTCAGACATACAGTGTATGAGCTAATGATCTTTTGCAAAAGCACTCAACATTTTACAAAGCCGGTTTTCCCAAGCCTCTCACTCTGGAATTTCTTTTTCTTTTTGCAGAACCACATCACCGCCTTCGCGGAAGTCACATGATATTGAAGCAGATGGCTTTTCACTGCATTGGACATCATCTCTTTTTACCATTCATTCATAACACCCAAAGTTTGTTTGATTACAGAAGAAGTTTATAAAGTTGTCTAATAATTTTTATAATTTGAAAATCAATGTCAGCCTATTTGTTTCCCCCCACTAGACTGTGAGCTCCTCAAGGGCAGGACTGTGTCTTTTTCTCCCCTGTCCCCAGCGCCTACAAACCAAGTCTAGCACAGAGTAGGTGTTCCATAAAAATGTGATGATCGAATGAACAAATTAATTCTGAAATAAAATATCCATTTTAGTTTCTTACAGAATCACTTGCAACTATGTTAAAAGAAACCACTATATGAATCATATCTGCATCTGAAAACCCTCTTATTTGGGGCTAATTCTGTTTTTTAATTTTTCATACATCTATTCAACAGTATGCCATATTTAATTTGAAGTGGAATTTGAAAGTCATGGGGGTTTTTATTTTATTGTTCAGCATGACATTATTTCCATTCTAACTGATTTCAGTGTGTGAAATTAGTTTACTTTTAGAAAGTACTAAAAATAATGTTCGCACATTATATTATGCTGTATTTCACTTAAAATATCATTCGTACTATACATTCTAAGACTGGTGCTTCTGCTTTTGAAGGGGAAAATGCTAATTTTTACTGTAATAAGTAATGTATCATAATTAAAAATTATTTATTTGGACTTCTTTTCCTGACAATTGTGATTTAATTGATGACTTATAGTGTTTGAATGCAGGCACTATTTTATTTAGGGTAGTTCAAATGAGTACGTCCAGCACTAATACCTTGTTACTGAGTAAGTCTCCATTGAGAACAGCGTTTCCAGAGGCTCTATTCTGAAGCTTTTTTACTAGTCAAGATTCTGCATAACTTAAACAGGAAAGAACCAAATCCTGACACATAATTTAAATTATATAAATGTTTAAAATATGGCTAATGTATTTTACTTTGTGTCTGTGTAGTACTTTATAGTTTACAGAGTATTTCATTTAATCCTTATAATAGCCCAATGTAAATGTCAAAGAGTATGGCTTTATTTTTATAAATGAAAAAAAAAATGAAGCCAAGACAGGGTAAATATCATGCCCCATCTCAAACTGGTAAGAGGCCTAGTTGAAACTTAAATCCAGGTTGTCTGACCCCAACCCCATTTTGCTTTCAAATATGCCACGGCTGCCATCTCATTTTGGACACCCAGGCCTTTTGGAGAGGCCAGAAGAGTGCTGAGTAAACACCTATGGTTTTAAAAATGAAGAAATGCCAAAATAGAGTGATGACAGCTGTCATATTTTAAGTGTTCAGGTTTGAAGAATGAACACTTTTTTAAGTGTAATAGTAACCTATTTATAAAGCTTTTAAAAATAATGCCAAGACTCTAGATGAGAACCTTTATAAGTGAAATCTGAAGTCAGTATCTCTCTGCCTTTACCCCCAGTCCCAAATCAGGAGAGGGTCTGAGGGACAGAACTTAAATTGCGCATGTGGAATTAAGGATGGAAATCACCATACCATAAGGAAGATAGGCCCCCTCCGCAATCATTTTGCAGTATATAAAGCTACCCTGAGTAACCTTGGCTTATGCGTGAGTCACCACAGAGGTTTTGAGACAGTCTGTATTATGGTCCACTATTTCACTTCCAAGAACTACAGTCAGCCCCATCTTCGCTGACCCCCCCCTGCCAGTTTCATCTTGCTCGGGTTAGCCGTGTCACTGCAAGGGCTTGGCTGGCTTCATTTGTTTTCATCCATGAGGATTTTGCATTTTCTGATTTTTGTCCGTCTCAAAACTTTCATAATGACCCACCTATGAATGATAGTTGACTAAAGTGAATCTTTCTAATGTTGACACTATTAAAAAAGGTAAACTTTTAATTTCCTCTGTAATTTCAATAGAAATCAGCGAATAACCAAAGGTTGCCCATTATTCTTAAAATCGATGTTACTTGCCCATTTCCATCACTGTGAGGATTCGAACACTTCTACTAGGTTTAAAAACAGCAACAAAACCTTCTTATTTCAGACCTCTATAATAATTCAATTGTTTGGGAAATCTAAAACATGAAAAAGCCTGAATGCCTTGACCCTCTTTAAATAAATTTTAGGCAGTAACATCAATGTGGAATTCACTTATTTGGAATGGAAGTGAAGGGAAGATCATAATGTTTTGGAAGGTGGTTTGATTAGTTCTATTTGCTCTAAATTAGTTTTCTAAGGAGCAAGTAGGAAGCCTTAGCTTATACATTCCTATGTTCTTATGTCATTAAACCTTCCTAAAGCCAGTCTGAATGAAAGTTACCAATTCCTCAAAAGCCCATCCTTAACCCCGGATCAGAGTAAGATCATCTCTAATATTTAAACATTAGGGACCTGAGATTGTGCAAAGAATAACCCTGTCATGAAAGATATTCATTAAAAAAAGAGATATGTGAATAAGGCAAAAGCCCGCATAGAGCCCTTAGTCATGATGCTGTTACTGACAATAATGAAAAACACACTTAAGAAAATATTAATATGTAAATATGTACATACATGGTCTAGTAAAAGCAGGCAAACACATATCTTTCTGATGGAAATATCTCCTTTTATTCTACTTACTTGGGGCCCAGGTCAGCATAAATTGGTCAACCTGAAAATTTCAGTAGTCTCTGTTTGCATGGCAGAAATTCTGCACATGTTTTATCTGATTCTTATGATAACTTAAAAGGCTCTTTTATGTTAAAAGAGAGGTGAACCTTCTTTGACAGACTTTGTCTATTTCCACTTCTAACTGGGCCTCTCTTTTCTCAGGATCTATCCTAGCCAAATATCTTAGTTACATTTACCATACAGTTTCCTCTGTGAAAGAGCAGTAGGGGAAGAAATAATTCTCTGCTGTGTATTGTATTTTTCAAATAAAATTTTAAAAATTACATTGAAAAAGTGAATTCTGATTTTTTCCCCCTATAGTGGTCTTTTTGGGGAGTGAGGAATAATGAATGCTTATTCATGTGTGTGAAAGGCAGAATTCGCAGAGAATCTGACGAGTGCTTGGAAATAAATCACAATGGGTCAAAAGCCCAGTTCTTTGGGCAGCTCAATGACCCTGCATTCCTTGGGCCATCCTGGGATCTTACCATTCTTCTTATTTCCAAATCACAAGCTATTTGGGACACTGAGCAAGTGTATGATCCACTATACAATCTGCCTTCTATGTGTGAACAATGTACTAAAGAGTGGATGTAAATTATCCATTAGGGTACCAGGTATTAAATTTTGGTTGCATGAAAAGTTGCCCTCGAAACATACCAAATGGTTCTATTTATACCTTGAAAACATTGATCTTCTCAAAATTTTCCAGGTATGAATTTTCTAATGAATTTTGTAAAGTATGATTCTTTTTAAAATATCAATTAAGAAAACTTCCTCCAGACTCTAAGCAAATGTATCTCTTCTAAGAAGAGAAATAAGAGTATTTAAATTCTTCTTTCCTGTTGCCTTCACCGTAGATTATAGCTGATTCTTCATCTAGTGGAGCCTTAGAACATGGCCAACATTCAATGTGTGATCTTCCCACACTAAGTCTTTTTTATTTTTTTATTGTTGGGGGTTCATTGAGGGTATAAAGAACAGGGTACACTGCTTGCATTTGTTGTTATATAAAGTCCCTCTTCTAATTGTGTCCCACCCCCAAGACGTGTGACCCCATCCCACTTTTTCTTTCCTTCTTTCTGCTCCCTCATTTCCTAACCCCCTGCCATGTACTAGCATCACTTGTCCTCATATCAGAATTGAGCATATTGGATTCTTGCTTCTCCATTCTTGAAGAATATGTTTCAACTCCATCCAGGTTAATACAAAAAATGTAATCTTTTTAGTGGCTGAATAGTATTCCATGCTATACATACACCACAGCTTGATAATCCATTCCTGGATTGGTGGACATTTAGGTTGTTTCCACAATTTGGCAATTGTAAATTGAGCAGTACCCACTCTAAGTCTTACCAGCCATGAATGGATTATAGGATCTAAATTTTAAACTCAGCAAAGGACATTTTTGTGGATTAAAGCAACAGCTAAAATTAATAAAAAAGCATTGCCTCCACAAACAACACTATCTTAACTATTGCTAAATTTAACAATCTTTGAAATGACTATCATAATGAGCACTTACTATTCTCCCACAAGTCTACAGTTTAGCTAAGTCATTTTTCTAGTTTGAGCCAAACTCATTCATGCATCCATGATCAGGCTGGAAGCTCTGGCTGATCTTGGCTGGACTCTCTTTCTCACATATATAGGAGTCCTCTGGCTATACACTGATCCAGGATGGCTTCACTTGGGACAACTGAATTTTTCTTTATGTGGGGTCTCAAACTCCATTAGGCCAGGCGGCCTCCTTGGCAGAGTGGACTGGGAAAGAACAGAAGCATGCAAGGCACTAGCACACTGCTAATTGGCCATCCCATTCAACTGGCCAAGGCAAGTCCCAAGGCCAGCTCAGATTCAGAGAGTAAAAGAAGGGCTACAAAAATCATGTTAGGAAGCGGTGGACACAGAGACGGGTGGAGAACAAGGATCATTTTTGCATTCAGTATACCACAAATTTTTATTGATGCCAAGCCTTAAAATAAAACCTTCATGCAGTACTACCCTGAGTAGGATTCCTCAACATGTTGAGTTGTGATTTATTCTGATAAGAAACACACAGATGACAATAGAAAGCATGTTTGTTATAGCTGAGAAAGAATGGTCACACCACCAATTACCAACTGTGTCCCCAAATGTCTTTTTGATAGACTGGCTGGAGACCTGTCTGTTCAGACTTCACTGAGAGCAATGGAGAACTCACTGACACTTTTGTTTAGAGACAACTTCCTAGTTCTCTTATAGCCAATAATAAAGGAAGAGGACATAATTTTAAAGCAGAAATCAAATGGGAAAAAAAGATATTTAGGCCCCAAAGTAGGAAAATAACTGAAATATAAGACCAGGTTATGATACAGACAGAGGGTGCCAAAAAATGTATATATATTTTAAGAAAGGAAAAGCCTGTATTGAAATTGTAACACTCAAACATAAACTTACAACATTAGTTATCTTGCATTTTGTATCTTGTATTTATTTGAAAACAGAAGTCAAATGTGGCTTGAACATTACAATTTTAATAAGTGTTATCTTTCTTCAAATGTGTATACATTTTTTGACACCCTCTGTATGTATGTGTGATGTGTGTGTGTGCATGTTTGCTTTGCATAGTTATGATTTTAAATTTTTTCACTTACCATGATTTAGTAAAATAACACTACTCCCCCAACCAAAGGGTTCAAAGTTCAGTTACCAGTATAATACCTGTATGTAGCTGCATAATGAATGTGCAAACTTTTCTGCCAGCTCTTGCATTCACAAGTCACTATATAAATCAGGCATACACATATTATCAGTAATGAGTCATGTCACTTGTTTCTGTTGATACTCAGTAAAACATGTAGTTCTACAGGCTTTTGTTTCTCAGCAATAAATTCACATGGTATTTTACAAAAATGTGCAATTTAAACAGAATCTAGTTAACGAAGACTGATGGAACAGTAGCAAATTAAAAAAAAAAAAAGGTGATAATATGGAAAGTCAAATTTAAATGGAACATAGAGTTATCTATGATATAGCTGACCTTGGAAATGGTCACACTGCCATCACCATCT